TACAAGAGTTCTATCTCAGAAACAAAACACTACAGTAGTCTGCAAGGCTCAAAATAGGACATAAATCACAAAACAGCCACTTCTAGCTGAATAGACAATAAGATCCTACCGGATAAAATTTAACCAAGGCATTTGCTCAGCAGTATGTATTCTGTATTGAAATTGAACTGATACAAAGTTTTTTGTGTAGATGTTCTTTCAAAAATCTAACTATTCAATGAATATTATAATAAGGGATTAAGTTTATGGATTTAATTTTGTATATGTTTGTTCATATTTGGTGACTCCCTTTTATTCAAATGTAATGATCCCCAAGCCCAAGACATACTGACACACCACCGCCTTGGTGACAATATATATATAATTATAGAGAGTCTCACACCATACTTGTAATGTTTGTGTGAATCACTTAATTGGAAAGATAAGAATATAAATATAGACTCCTTACTGTAAGACATTTGGCACATGTAGAATAGAATAAAAAAAGCTCTGTACCCGGTCTCATATCGCTAAATTTAGAGAATAATAATAATAATAGCATAACTGTATTCAACATTTACAGAAATAAACACTATACGTTATATCAGAAACATGTGCTTATGTCTACAGAGAGCCATCCACAATTACTGGTAACCTTACAAAAAACAGATAATATCTATGTCAGCATTGAGACCTACTGGTTCAAAAGTGCCTAATTGGTGAATTCAGAAGGGCCCACCTTGTGCTAGTCTCTCCTCCCTATTACCTCCCCTCCAATGTGGTCTAACTATTCTCAACTCCGAAAAAAACTAATTTGTTCCAGTTGAAATACAGACAAGAATTACAGTGAACTGGGACTGTGTGGTTATTCACCCCTTTTTTCATATTATTAAAATGTTTTAAAATCCTTCAGTTTTCTTTTAGTTCTGCCAATATATTGTTTGCCACATGGACACTGCAATAAATATATCACATGGTCCGTGTGGCAAGCTATCTTTTGATTAATGTTGTACTTTTTACCTGTCACTATGCAGACAAAATTATTTATAGTAGATATTTGAATTATATTGCATGCTTTGCAATATATAAATCCTATATCCAAAGTATCACTGCATGTTCTACATACATGTTTTATGCTATAACTTGGAGCCAACCTATTTTTTAAGTTTTGATTTCTCATAAAAATAATTGGGGGTCACTCTGGCAACAACCTTCCTAGTACCTTGCCCTTTTGTAAAATGAGCCAATATTTAGATGTTGCTCTCTTTATTTTAAAGTGGTCAGTGCTACATCTAGATGCAAAGGCATGTTCGAACCTTTGTGTTGGCAATACATTGCTAAGATGTTTAGGTTTGTCCATCTTAAGGTTGTTCCTATCGATTTTTGCAATTCTTTTAATCTCCTTTTCAATAAGAGATATATACACCCTTAAAGCTTTTATAATTATATTGCTTATAATTTAGTCCAATGATGTTAATCTATACATTAATATATAAAATGGAGTGAATTGTGGTCATCTGAAAATTTAGTAGCAACAGAAACGCTCAAATAGCCAGGTAGTGACTATAAATGAATTGGAGAATTTTTAAATATTAGTTATATTAGCCTACATTTTGCAATTCCATTTTCAATTCACTAAAATTTACCTAGTGTTTAATTGTTTCACTGTAAACTTCAATTAGAAGATAATAGTATGTATAATAGTGATTGATTGTAATTTAGTATTTTACAATGCTCGTATGGATGTAATACAAGGTAAATTATGTTTTAAATCTAATAGTGGAAAATTAGAAATTATTATCTTATATTAGTAGAGAGAACAATTATATGATAATTATTTATATTTGAAAGATCCCTAATTGCATGTTTATTAGACTATTTATTGCCAACTTGCTAAAAATCAAGCAATTATAACACAGTTAAACAAGATTCTTAGTGAGATAGCTTATAATCCTACAAATTGAAGGCGATAATCAAAATTTTTACAAAATACTTCCAGGACCCCACTTTTTTTACTGTTCTGTTGGTTCTGTTTGCAAACACTAACCACGTCTTTCTTTCCTATCTCATAAATAAGATGCTCTGTTGAAATAGGATACTGGTTCTTTGCAACATAAAATTGAAATTTCTAGATTAAGGAAGAGTAGATAAAATTAATTCAAATATTCAGTTAAAATTAAATGTTTGCCCACAGATTTCCAACTAGAATATTAATATATGAGCAGAAATAGATTTTCACCGAAATAATGTTAAATTAATACAAAATAAATTAACAATCAAGCTTAATACAGTATGTAGATGTAATAAATGTTGATAAATTAATTAATGCACAGACACAAAAGTTGTACCTTTTTTAAATCCAGTATTCTTTTCAAATAGACTCTTGATTACAGTAAAGTGAATATGCAACATGCTAATTTATTGTGGTTAGCACAATTAATTCCTTTTTTTTTTTAGTTTAAAAAAATCACATATATTTCAAACAAAACATTCTTGTAGGAGAGAACAAATTAAGCACAGTTACCTGGTTAAAACCATAAATCTGTACTATACATTCCATTTCAAGCTATTTAATCTTACCAAAAAAAAGTGGCATGTGCCCAGAGGCAACCTGGTTGGTAGAATGCAGCCACTGCGTTTAGACCCTGAAAGACATCTGTATAATGAGGGCTTAAGGAAGAGGTACCACCTTTGATTAAAAGGAGAGAGGGTGGCATAACAACCACAACTTTCTATGCCACTTACTACTCACCAGAGAACTAGAAGATAAGCTGTAGTACAAACCACACTCTGAACTCCTGGTTAATATGACTGTAGCAGCGGTATTTTATGTGTTGTTCTTTATCGATTATGCTTCACCTTCCATAAGCATAACTTGTATAATTTAATAAAGCTTAAACTACTTTTTTTTTTTTAATTCTCTATTTTTTGTATGCAGGTGGGTACAACAGTGCCTGTATCGCCACAACAGCATCAGTAGGCTCGATTTTCATAGTCATATTATAACAATATTGTGGCGTGTTGGGTATGCATAAATTTTTAAATGAAAAAGATAACAATAAAGTAAACAAGCTATGAGCAATATGGTTTAAGTTAAATTGGAGTAGGTGAACATGCATGAGTGTACAAGCTTAAATGTATTAGCAGGGTATAGGTGGTCTTTGAGTTTAACAATCTGTGCATCTTTACAGTAGGGTTAAGCATGGTAACACTTTCTCTATTTAAAGTGGGTGTCTGAGCTCTCTGGATTGCTAGTGTTATTTTTTAGAGCGTGTTCCTCGCTTGGTGCTTCATGTAAATCATGCTGTGTTATCTGTTGGCAGTGTGTCAGGCTAAGTATAATTGGAGTTGATGCCAGGGCAAATAGTTACCAGCATAAGTCAATGTCCATGGATGGAAGCTTACTGACAAGAGTCCACCAGGTTGAGTAGGATTTAAGGTTCATACCGGTGCCGGCATCTTCACCGCGGCCAGCCAGCAGACAGACCGTATCTTTTTACCCACTTATCCGATTCCCAATCTGTGGGGAGGTTGTTGGGCGCTCTGCCTTGGGTATGCTGCATGTGGGGCACTCTGGCTTGGTAGAGTGTCAATAAAGTATTTTTGATTTTTATTTTTATATTTATTTGTATTTTACCATCTTTCCATTTGTTTACACCAAGGGATTTCATACCCTCCAATGTGGGCATACCCTTAGTTGGGGATGTTGTGGTAGATGGAACTTCGCTCCTCTTTCCACACACCCTTATCTTTGGGATTTTCTTTATTATTATTTCCGTTGGGTTAGGCCCTTTCTTCTTGTCCATTTAGTCCTTATTTGGCTTTAGGACTGGATTGTCTCCAGTTCTAATAGTCATTATTCTTTTCTCATTTAAGTTTTGTGTGGTTTTAATACCAGGACTATTTTGACTTTATCAGTACATAAATCACAACACATTTTACAAGTAACACACACTAATAATGGCAGGGTTTCTATCTAACAAACCAGACAGTAACTTATGGTGTATTGACTCGGAAAATGTGTTCTCAGTTGAGCAACTAGACTACACTAATCCCACCCCTGACATCAATCAAACATTCAACAACCTACAAAACCTGTATCAAAAACAAATTAAATCTAGTTGGGAGGTGTCATCTCTTGAAAACTATATTAAGAAGGAGATGATCCCACGGGGCCTGAGGGTTCGTAATTTACCATCCTCATACACAGACAACACTGAACTAATGCAAGAATGGGAATTTGCAGCTGGAGCATGCTCTAAGCGGTTCATGGAGATCCTAATAAAATTTGAAAAAGCTAAACTATCTGAAGTTAACCTTAATCTTGAACAGGAGATTGCTAGTGCACAACAATATCAGTCTAATCCAGAATTCACTCATTTTGAAACTAGACTAAAAACTAATCTAGATAAATTTCAAAATAATATTAAGACACGTAAACATCAGAAGTTTGTGAGAGACTCAAGAGACTATCAAACAAACAGAGTCTATCAACAGTTTAATCGTAGAGTTAGGACAAACTCTAACAACTATTTAACATCAGATTATGAGTCTTCCGACACTGATAATGACATTCCCAGCGGTTCACAAACTGACCAACAACTACAGACCCCAATAACTTCCACATATACCAATCCTAAAGGAATCCTAAAAAAAGGGGTGAATTTTTTAGAGATGGGCCACATGGATGGCATGCAAACTCGAAAAAACCGATATCCCACACGAGACAGGGAAGGAAGCAGAGGCAGGAGACCCGGAAGGAGAAGGTTTTGACTCAAGAAAACTGTCAAGTAACAGATCAAAGAGTCATTAATCTTTCAAAACAGATCCTGAATAAAGACCATCTCTCACTTTTGGAAAAAGGGCTCTCCTTTGTACCAATACCTCCCCTAAATAAGTTTATGTGGGTTAAAGATCTCCACCTTTTCGCCCGGAAACTCGCTCTACATAAATTTCATGAAATTAATAAAGAAAAGAAAGCTAAATCCCACGGTATGTCTAACAGAGAATACGAATGCCTCATGACCCTCATGAACCTATGGGAAGAAAGTAACGAAACTAACTACTCTAAACATACCGACTTAAAACTAAAAAGTAAATTCACCACATATTTGGGAAACTATCGTAATATTGATCTCTTTCTAGAAACAATGAAAAACGAAATTGATAAATTAGACACTAGATCACTTGATTTTCATTCCAATATGAACCTGTCAAGTAGGGAACAAATGGCGCTCAAGTCCCTGAGAAAGAATACAGAGATCATCATAAAACCCGTGGATAAAGGTGGGAACATAGTGATGATGGATGTTTCTGACTATGTCTCAATGGTTCTCAAAGTGCTGGAAGATGAGAATACATATAGAATTTTAAAATCTGACCCCACGAATGACTTCCTTAAAAAATACAGGGAGATTCTGGATGGGGGCCGCAGTAGAGGGCTGCTATCAGGGGATGAATACGCATTCATCCTCAATTGCCATCCGAGGATAGCGACCTTCTACTGTTTGCCCAAAGTACACAAAAGTATGACTTTACCCCCTGGCCGCCCCATTGTCTCGGGAATAGAAAATCTGACACAGAATGGCAGCATATATATCGATAAAATCTTACGACCATTCGTTGAAAAACTCCCTACCTTTCTTCAGGATACGAAACAGACCCTGGCCCTTCTAGCAAATCTGGAGGTACCCCCCTCGGCTAAACTATGCAGCTTAGATATCGAAGCCCTATATTCATCCATCCCTCACTCTAATGGCATTCGCCATACACGTCATTTCTTGGAACAACGAGGTACAGCATTCACAGCACATACCTCTTTTTGCTTGGAGCTTCTTGAATATATCCTTTCACATAACTATGTTACATTTAAAAATAAATATTATCACCAAATTAGGGGGACTGCGATGGGGACAGCTTGTGCCCCATCGTATGCCAACCTCCATCTGGGCTGGTGGGAGGAACACCTTTTTTAACATCCAGAAATCTCTCAATATCTCCCTCTGATTTTTCTTTGGCGTCGTTACATCGACGATGTGTTTATAGTGTGGCTAGGGAATATACAAGAGTTCAACGAGTTCGTTGGTATCCTTAACATTAATGATGAAAACCTCAGATTCACGAATGAATTTGGGGGTAATAGTCTGAATTTTCTGGACTTAACGATATCCATAACAACCGAAAACAAAATACATACCACCCTTTATCGCAAACCCTCGGCGACTAATAACCTCCTGAGATGGGATAGCTTTCATCCGATACCGCTCAAAATGGGGATCCCAACGGGTCAATATTTCAGGGTCCGGCGTAACTGTAGTACCATTGAGGAATTCAAGATAAAGGCTAAAGAACTAAGAGGCCACTTCAAAGCTAAAGGTTACCCTAATAGGTGCCTCAAACGCGCATATCAGAGAGCACTCGATTCAGATCCTAATGCCCTGTTAAGTGGGGACAGTCCTAAACCATCAGAGACTTCTATGAATAATATATGCCTAATTGCTACCTATGATGCAGGATGGGAAAATATTCAAAGTTCCCTTAGACGTTTTTGGCCACTGTTAACTAATGACCAGCATCTTCAGGAAGTACTGGCTCCTAATGTTTCCATCACAGCTCGGAGAGGGAAAAACATACGAGACCTCTTAGCCCCAAGTCATTTTAAAACTGACAGTTCATCCTCTTTAACATGGCTCCAGACCCGCCTGACTGGCACCTATAGATGCGGGAGGTGCATTACATGCAAGTTCATGAAAAAGGACTCCAAAATTGACTCCATAACCTCCTTCTTCAACTGTAATACTTCAGGGATTGTCTATTTACTTACATGTGAATGCAATAAAAAATATGTGGGCAAAACATTCCGTCCCTTTAAGAAACGAGTACAAGAACATATTAGGTCTAGCAAATATTCAGTGGAAACCCCTATATCTAGGCATCTTCGCGAATACCACAATAGCGACCCTAAAGGGTTACTCTTTTGTGGTTTGGAATTGGTAAAAAAGAACCCTAGACGCGGTGACTATGATAGATTTCTCAGGCAAAGAGAATGCTTCTGGATCTATCGATTAAAGACCCTAAGTCCCAATGGTCTGAATGAGGGATTTTCCTTTTCTCCCTTCTTATAATGTCTATACACACTACATATAATCCTGTCTCCTCTAATGTGTGTGTTCATTTAAACTGTTTAACATAATATTTTGATTTAGTCTTTATTTATTTTTATTTTTTGATTCCCATTGGTTTGATTTACACTTTAGTTTCCTCTACTTACCTTAACTATGATTGGCACCTCTGAGGGTTATTTTGCCAAATGTATGATACTGTTGAAAGCAGATATTGCCTTCTCTACATTGGCATGTATACCTCCTATCTCTCATATGATGCCTCTTTTTTGAGACTTTTATCTTCCAAGGTTTTGCTCTTATGGTATGAACATTAAGACATAACACCCTGTACACTGATCTCAACCGGCATATTTGCCGGTCCGAGCACCCCTTGGCTCCTCCCTCTCCATCATGCGTTTAGCCATGACGTCACGGGAGAGGCGGGCACTAGCCCCTTTTTAAATCCTGGCGGCAAAGGGATCTCCTTGCCGCTCTTGTAAAAGGCGCCACATAGCGCCGAAACGCGCGTCGAGTTAGTGAGTTAGTTACAAGTCTAGCCTAGTCAGTTATTCTCCACCTTACTTTATGTGTGACTGATATGAGCTAGCCAGAAGTTTAGTCTAGTCAGTTCATTTCCTACTTTAGTCTACGTTTGACTGAGACTTAGGCAGACTTCGTTCTTTCAGAGTTCAGTTAACAGTTAAGCCTATCGAGTCATTTTATACGTTATTTGTAATGTCGGACTGAGAATTTAGGCGGACTCCCTTTCCTGTATACTCTGAGAAACCAGCCCAGCCTATTTAGATATTTTCTGTACACTTTGCCATTTACAGTTTTACTTTTAGGTCTGGGTGTCCTTTTTGTTTTATTTTTCTCTTTTTTCACTGCACTACTATACTACATGGGGTCGGGTATTTGTGGGCGACGTGCCTGGCGTTTGGGGGAGCTTCCTTCCCACTAGTGTAATATTGCATCCTCTTTTTCTCATAAGTATTAATTGCAGGAGACATAGAACTTGCTATAAGAGCTGATAACATTTTTGCTACTATTTTAGCAATATACTTCAGGAGAAACAAAATTAGTTACAAGAGCTGATAACACTGTTGCTACGATTTTAGCAATATACTTTCTATATTGCTATTCTGGCTGCCTTTGCAAGCATTTTATTATGGGGCTGACTACTATCTAGATGAATTGAGGTATCTGGGTATCTCTATATTTTAGAGGACCTTTTCTGGAATTCTGGTACATTCCCCTCTATCTATATATATTATACTTCCGATCCCAGATTTATCTCACTAGTATAGCCAGCACCTGTACCCGATAATTTTATTATCTATACAACGGGTGTTACAAGCTTGCCATATACTCCAGGGAATTACAACCTGCTTATCGGTTGCTACTCCCATAACAGCAGTTTGATTATATTCTGTGCAGACACTCTGGTCTATTTAAGATTTTCGTGCAATATGTTACATCTAAGATATTTGATTAGGATGTGTTATTCTGGCGTACAATAGTGTCATACATGCAATCCTTTACTATATCTGCCGTGTTGCCTCCTACTATGTCTCCATAGCTCTATAGACCATAGGACATCCCCCTACCCTGGACCCCTTGTGGTATATGTATTATATATATATATATCTTTTATAGTCTCTATACGTATTTTCAATAAAGTATTTTTGATTTTGATTTTTATATTTATTTGTATTTTACCATCTTTCCATTTGTTTACACCAAGGGATTTCATACCCTCCAATGTGGGCATACCCTTAGTTGGGGATGTTGTGGTAGATGGAACTTCGCTCCTCTTTCCACACACCCTTATCTTTGGGATTTTCTTTATTATTATTTCCGCTGGGTTAGGCCCTTTCTTCTTGTCCATTTAGTCCTTATTTGGCTTTAGGACTGGATTGTCTCCAGTTCTAATAGTCATTATTCTTTTCTCATTTGAGTGTGAGAGTGTGCCTCTTCTGGGTGCTTCATGATGCTCCACCATGATGGATCGCCATCTGGCGGTGTTGTGGTTGTCGGGGCCCTTAGAGTTTGGCCCACTCCAGCCCTGCGCTTGTTTGGTAGGTGCCTCTTGTGCCCCGGTGGTGCGGTGGTGTTGCCCTGTGCTGTTTCCTTGGCGTGTGGCGGTAGTTGTGGTGTCGCAGGCCCAGGCTAGTGGGGTGGGCTGATTCTAGCTGGGTGCAAGGTGGGTGGTTTGGGGTTTTTCGGTCCCTGTGGCCTGTCTTGTTGGGACTGACAGTTCTAGGGTCTGGTGGCCCCTGTAGGTCTGCTTTATAGGGGCTGTTCAGTGGGGTCCAGCTCTGTGTGCCCCCCATTTCCCCCTGGTTGATGCCCGCAGCCGGTAGTCCGCCAACACAGACCTGTGGCAGGTTGTCATGGTAGTCTGGTGGTGTTGGGTAAGCTCCCCTTCGATCTGCTCTCCTGCACTGGCGGTCCGCGCACACGGCTCGCGTGCAGCAGCCATCTTGTGGAATGGTGCATGTGCATGTTCCTCACTCGGGCGATTGTTTATGCCCAGATTGGTATGCTGTTGGTCCCCTGCAGACCGGGATGACCCCCCCGGTACAGGGGGGGGGGAGTGAGAGGCCGGCCGGAGACCCGGGAGAGCAGCCGTCTCGTCACGACTTAAGCTCCAACGAACTCCGGGCCCCGGTCAGGTTACTGTAGGTGCTGGACAGGGTCATGTGCGGTGTCCCCGCTTGCCCCAGTGGCTGGGGGTCAGTATGGTTACAGGTATAGAGGGATTGTCGCGGTTGATCTCCAATTTGCGCCGATTTTCGAGCCCTGGAGCGAGAGCTCAGACAGAGCATGTCTGATCCTGCCGGTGGTCAGGCCCCACCCCCTAAACTACTGATTTTATACATGCAAATTTATCTGCGCTTCTATACCCACTGAGAACTCTTTTAGCTCACAAGAAATGTTTCACGTTTAAAGACTTCCAACTGCTGGACTTGCTGAATCATGTAAATTGGAGAACCTATATCCCTGAATAGGGATTGACAAAATCATTCTAATTTACTTATTGAGGTAGCTTTTTAAACATTTCATTTTTCTTTTTAAAAAGATGAATACTTGGAATATTGCCTTAATTTGCATACCACTGATATCATTACTAACCACTATACCTTGTTCTATTTACTTATTTTTTCTTTACATTTTTTTTTACTCCACTGCGATTATTATATGTTTTTATTGTTTGAATATTGTTCGCTTTATTTTATAAAGAAATAAGCTCTATTGTGAGCACGGCTTACCATATATATTTTGCAATTTGTTTATGTTTTCTGTTTTTCCTAAAAAACAGTTGGCAGGTAGTTGGTATCCTGCATGGTTAAATAACAGCTACTTATTCATTCTTGCAATTGAGTTCTGGAAGCACAAAAAAGCTTAATTTGTTTTACTGTGAAAGCAGAGAAGCTTACCAGAGTTGCAAAAGAGGAACTGGAATATTCTTTGTGAAAAACTAAATTAAAGTTAGTACATGTATATGGAGTTAGGAGGGAGTGCATAAGGAATTAAAATATTAATAGGACTACCAATACTCTTCCTCAAACACATTGCAGCACACTGAATTGAATTAACTTAAATGGACACTCCAGAACCCTAAACCACTTCAACTTGCTGAAAAGCTTTATGTGTGAAGAGTGTGTCCTATTTTTTTTTTTTTTTTGG